ATTATTTAAAATATATTCAAGCTATAAGAATCTAATTTTTTTTATTTCTTTTGAAGGGGACTTCGGAACTGACTTTCCTTTGTTCAACAAATTACAACATTCTACAATTCTAGGTTAGATCTAAAAATTACCTGAAATTTTGTTAGATTTGAGCTCGTCTTAGTTGTTCTTTGTAACAAATCTTATCCTTGTTTCATTGAGAGTGAAGCTCCAAGATTGATAGCAGCGGGCTTCTATAGAGATGGAGTGAGTCTCAGATCTCAAAGAGAGAGAGACACAGATCTGATGAGAGTGTGCGAGAGAGAGAGAGAGATAGAGAGAAGAGAGAGAGCGAGAAAGAGAGTGACAAGAGACGAGAGGCGAGACCAGATGAGATGAGAGAGAGCAAAACAGTTTGAGCAATCGAGGTTTTGTTTTTCGGATGGATGGAGCCATTACCGAGTGGATTGGGAATGAAAAATACCATGTTGGATTCGATAATGCTTATTCCCATAATTTGTGGGATTAGGTATTCTTTTGGAATGGAAATGAATTTTTAATCCTATAAAACAAATATTAGAATAGGCATTCCCATGGAATGTCCATTATATTCCTAAGACCTAATACCATGTATCAAACATAGCATTAGTTTTTTAAACAAGAATAACAGTGTTTTGGTATAATCTGAAAACACAGTTTCTCTCTTTTTACCTTTTTAGGTAAAAATACACAAATTAATGGGGCATGTGCACATTTATAAGTAGAAAGAAAACCGATTTTCAAGATCAACATGAACTCCACTTTCTATCAAAATAGGATATCAAGAAACTACTATTTCTTATTGACCAATCAGAAAACATCAATTACCCGGTTAACTTGGGATTGATAACCTTATCATTATCTTGATCCAACTAATTCACCGATTAATTAGTCATCAATAAATATCACATGTGCCAAAATATCATATGGGCCACATTTAAGTCTTACAGTGTGGACCACATATATTGCAATTATAAAAATATTACACAACTCAAATGAAATTTAAAAAATTACAATTCAAATATATATTATGTTTTAGATGAGTAAGTTACTTGTATGAATACTAGGATTGCGCTAATAGTCGCCATAGGGGAATCCACCAATGGATGTGTAGTTGTAGCCTATGTACTTGTAGATTGTGAAACGAGGGCGGTTGGCAAGAATGACGTTATTCTTGGTGAAACACTCTTCTGTCGCCGCCCACGAAGACACAACAATAACCAATCGGGTCCCGAAACGGAGAGATATGAATGGGCAAACTTCCTTTGAAAGCTTACGGAGGGTTCTGTGAAAGGGTTGTTTCAGGAGGGGGAGAAAAAAAGATAGGTTACTCGATGTGCAGAAGTAGATACAAACTTAGGTCATTCTTCCTTAAATTGATTTGTGTTAGTGTTGCAAATATCTATTCGATTAATCAAGGAATAAAAGGGGTTTGGTGTCCTCATTTCAAAATTATCTATATTACTCTTTAATTACTCATAATCATCCATAACTTCTCTTTTTTGTTTGCCTTTTTTACTTTCTTATGTTTATCTCTCTCCATATCTTACTTTCTTTTCTTTTTTTTTCTTTTCTTTTTTCGATCGCACATGCAAATGTGTGTGAAAAGCACCATCAATTTGGTATAATAAGTTAAAGAGTGATGTTCAATGAGGGAGTAGTTGATACAATTCTGAACACCTTATAACAAAAAAAAAAAAACTACAAACTCTTGTAGAGAATCTAGATTGGGTATTTCTTAAATTTTTGGATTATTCTATGTTTTTCTCCAGTGAATCCCTTTTTTTTTTCTTTTTGTGAAATACAATGTTAAGGTTGCATTAAAAAAATTTTAAAAAAAATTATTTGTACCCTCAAAAATTAAATTTTTTACATTGCACCCTCAATGTATTAAAAGTGTTTATAATGTGACTCTTTCGTTAGTTTTCGTTAATTATGTCTTCAACGTCAATAGGGTGAATATTAACGGAATAATCAACGGAAGCTAACGGAAGGGTCATATTATAATATTTTTAATACATTAAAAATGCAATATAAGATATCTCATTTTTTAGAGTGTAAAATAAAAAAACTTCAATTTTTTAAGATACAAAGTGAGATTCCCCTTATTCGAGAGATGTCTTTCTTATGATAACTTTACCCCTTTTTCGATAGTAAGCGACGAATATAAATTAATTTTCTTTTCCATCAGTATTCAATCCTGACATTGTCACGAAATTGAATCCTACCACTTTCAGTTGCCACTTCATTTTCAGAAAACAGTAAAAATTTTATATCATTGTAATTGCTGTCAATCACAATCAATTATCAAAGAAAAAAGTTAAATAATAGCAGATAAATGGGAAAAAAAATCAGTTCTTTATATATAATGTCTCAATTATGTATACAACATTAATTTCAACAACATAATATCATCGTGACTGCTTATTGTAACTCATGATCATGTCATCAATAACACTGGTGTCATATTGAATATTTTACTCTAATTCACTCAAGAGGATAGTTCCTCTTTCAAACTGGAAGTTAAAATTATCTGTAACCCTTATTTTTTAGACCCCGTTTCAGGCATAACCTGATTTATTGTAATTCACTTAACATACCTCAAGGAATTCTCAAACATTTTTTTCAATTTCTGAAAGAGCTTTGTCCATAATGCTGCGAGCTCTACACATGGCCACTAATGGCTTAGCTTTTGGCATGGTGAGCCCATTTCCTTCAGCCAAATCAACCTCCTCTTCACTGATCCTCTCCCACTCAAAGCATTGAATCAATGATCCCAACGCTGAACCTACCACTCTCTGAGCTAGTCCAGCACCTGGGCAAGACCTCCTTCCCATCCCAAATGGCATTAATTTGTGTGCCTCAACCTCCCCACCTTCAAACCTTTCAGGCTTGAAGCTTGTTGGGTCATCCCACACATTAGGGTCCCTATGAATTGCCCACGCATTGACTAATAAAATCGTGTCACGTGGCACATTGTATCCCCCGATTGTACAGTCAACAGACGACTCATGTGGCACTAATAATGGTACTGCCGGGAATAATCGGAAGGTCTCTGATATGATGCTATGAAGGTAATGCAAATTGGCCAAATCTGCTTCATTGATCAAGCGATCAGAGCCCACATGAGTGTCTAATTCTATCCTGGCCTTCTTCAATATCTGAGGATGGTTGAGTAAAACTGACATTGCCCATTCTACCGTCACAGATGATGTGTCTGTGCCCGCATTTAGCATTTCCTGCACATTATAAGTTCATCAAGTGAGATCAAGAAAAAATTGAAAACGATTGAAATCAAGGATAATGTTTAAAACTTTCACAGTTCAGCCAACTTTAAATTTTTGATTGGTTGGGATTAAATCAAGGGTAAATTGAATTTTATATCCTCAAAAGTTTACATTTGATTTATATATGGCCCCAAACTATGAATTAAACAAACAAGTCGTTAAACTCTAACTTCTATTTCAATTAAATCTCTCGGTTCAAATCCTTCAATAATTCTAGAGAAAATGAGTCACTACAGCATAACCTGGTCTAATTATGGGATTAACTTTGAATTGAAAAATGTAATTTGCATCTACTTTGGGGATCTAATTTAATGTAACCATTAGATTGGAACTCACTTGACATTGAAATTCACGACTAATCAAATAGTTGCTATGAGATGTGTTAAAAGTTTTGAATTATTCCAAAGTAAAAATACATTTTGTAAATAATTTGGGTAGAAAATAATTTAATACTACTTTATTATTTCAATCATAACTTTTGACCACGATACCTAATTGATCTGATTTTTGAACAATAAAAAATATACTTCAAGAGCTACAATAATATATTTTATAAAAATTTCTTAAATCGATTTCTAATTAAGTTAAAATCCAACCAAAAAATTGGACTATAAAGTCATCCGTGATGGGACCCAGAAAGTGCATCTGACCCCATCAATTAATTGCTCCATCAATTATGGGCAACGTTACGTGTGCGCTTACCCAAAAAACTAATATTATGCCATTCATACTGAAAAATGTTATGTTGGTCAAATTATTTATCAAATCTTTTATCTCAAATAATATAATACAATTTTTGTTGTTAAATATTGACGAAAACCTCTGATAGTAAAAAGCTCTATCATGTCATTTAAGATAAAAATTTGATAAAAAAATTTAATAAACATAGCATTATCTTTCCATACCCCAGCCGTACTAGCATGTGATTAGGAACATTGAAGATGTCTTCTTTGTGTCACCTTCACACCCAACAACTTTATGATAGATATCTAATCTGTATAAGATCTTCAATTGTGTTGCTAACAAAATTTTTGAAAAAAACAAAATCTTGCCAGAGTTAGAAATAAAAATCTTGTCTATAATGGATTCTGCAGTGGACAAACACCTTATTAAGAGAGATATATAAGTTTAAGCTATGAGGGTGAAATATAAGTATTTATCTAATATACTTCTTTGCATGTGATTTCTCTTAGGCGGTCTATCCATGTGATTTTTTTTTTCTTTTTCTTTTTTTTTTTTTTGTGTGTAATAAGGGAGAAAGTCTTTAAGTCATGTTAAGTTGTCAGAGAATAGTGAAATATAAGGATTTTTCTTTAATATATGCATCAACAAATAACAATACATCTGTTATACATACCCAATAAACAATACATTTGTTCTCTTGTTTTCCATGAACCACCTACTCAATATGCAATTCTATGAGACTTCAAGGAAGGATTCCTATCGTGCCAGATTCATGCGTCTAAGTTTTGTTGGATTTATTTCAAAAGTTATTTAATTTATTGTCCATTCATTTATAATTATATATATGTAATATATAAACTATGTATAAGTCATGATTGACAAATTTAAGTCAACATAGTTTTTGGACGGGTTTAATAGTTCTAGTCGTTTATAATTTGAACTGTTTAGTATCAAATTCGTTGTTAACTTTGTATCCATTTTGGAGCGAGGATGCATGATTGTCAATTTAACCAAAGGGCTATGTAGGGAAGTACACATACCAGCATAACCCCTTTGATGAGTTCATCCGTGTAGTAGTCTGGTTGTGATTGTTGCAGAGAAAGCAAATGACTGATCATGGAATTTCTACTATTAATATCATGCCTGTTCTCATCAATTAAACCCTGTAAAAACACGTCCATTTTCTCACCAAGGTTCGCTAAATTCTTCTCAAAACCCTTGTAATCAATCCACCGTAAAACTGGCAAGTAATCTCCCAGATTCGACATGCCAGCGCACCGGAATACCTCCGCTGTGAGCCCCCGAAAATGCTTCGCCTCCTCATTGCCCTCGTCTTCTCCATATCGCTTTCCTGAAATCATCCTCATAATCACATTGAATGAAAGCTCCGATAATTTTGACCTCAAATCAACCTTTGCGAAACCCCCATTGACTGAATTTTGACGAAGATAGCACAGTAATCGCTTGATTTCATCTTGTCGAGTTGATAAGAACATGTTGAGACGACTGGCGGAGAAAATTTCGAGTGTGCCAAGTCGCCGGAGATTGCGCCAGTGGTCGCCGTAGGAGGATCCACCAATGGTGCTGTAGTTGTAGCCTATGTACTTGCCGATTGTGAAACGAGGGCGGTTGGCGAGAACAATGTCGTTCTTGGTGAAACACTCCTCCGCCGCCGACGACGAAGACACAACAACAACCAATCGGTTCCCGAATCGGAGAGATATGATTGGGCCAGCTTTCTCGGAAAGCTTGTGGAGGGTTCTGTGAAGTGGTTGTTTCAGGAGGTGGAGATGACCTATAACCGGAAGCGTCGGTACTGGTCTCGGTGGGAGGTTCCGGCTTTTTTCCAACAAGAACTTGAAAGCTAGAAAGAGAAGCAGGAGAGAGAGGGATGTGTATAACCAGATGAGTTCCATGGTTGCTTGAATCGAATTGAGTTGTGGAGCTGTGAATTTTTGAACAACATTAATGGCGGATATTTATAGTGGGTGTGGATTGTATAAGATGAATTTAAAAATTAGATTTTATAATCTCAATTAGGTAGTGAATTTTAATAAGTATTGAGATTTACAGTGAAATCAATGGTTCTAATTATCATTTCTAATTTTTAAATTTATGTAGCATTATTCCTATAGAAATTCTGACTCATACAATACCTTGTTTGGGTTTTCGTAGAGTTTTGGCCACATTATGTCAATAGTATACCAATTTGAGCTGCTCTTAAATAGGAATAATTTGATTTTAACATAGAAAGCTGTTTTACAATGTTAGTAAAACCTAAAATGTATGATTTTTTATTCCCAATATAGAATTGTATGAAGTATTACTGAACAAAGTATATTCTATTTTAATTTTGCTTGACTATAAATTAAATATATTTTAATTAATGGAAGATCGATGTGCGGTGAATTTGGTTGGAAAAAAAAATTGACCAATTGAAGTATATATATAATAAAATACAAAGCACTTAAAACATATAGAATTACAATAATTCAAACTATTTATATTCGCTGCTCAAAAAAAGAAAAAAACTATTTATATTCAACATCTCATCTCATTGTTTATATTGTAATCATCATAAATATTTTAACCATGTTTGCGTTTGACCAAAATAGATATTTTAATCACTCACGTATAGTTTAATTATGATAAGGGCAATCCAATAGGAACCTAATTTAGAAATTTAATCAAGGACCTAATCAATGCAACCCTAGATTAGTTGAGTTTAAATGTTAGATTGAGTCTAATTTCAATTCAATTGGTGTATTAAATTAAGTTTAAATAATATTTTTCTTATGATAAATAATTTAATTATATTTATACTTTAATCACAGTAAAAGAGAGAGGGCACTCCACGAAATACCCTAGTGCATGCCTTTCACGTAAAACTAAGAGGCATGAATATTTTTTTGGTTTTGAATTTAACAATTAAGAGTGTTCAAATTAACTTATGTGCATCTTAATTAATTTTTTTTTCAATTTAATCAAACACAAATCATTCGCGTCAAAATTAAAATACTCACGAGTTCAAACAAAGCAATAATAACGAAGTAAGCAATGACCAAATTTACTTTCCTTTTTTCTAATCATTTTGAGATTGACCAGTGCTTTTCACGTGGTACACGTCTTGAATGATTGCAAATCTTCTTCGTCTTCTTGGATATTGTATATCATTTGAATTTTGAAATTTTAAACGAAATTAATATTTTATTATCATCTTATATCAAAATATTTTTTATTCTCAAGTTCATTATCATATTCCCTCACTGTATTTCTTCCTCACCGATTCAAGAATCTTCTACTGTATTTATTCTTCACTGGTTCAAGAATATCTTGTTATCTCCCATTATCATATTATCTTCTTCACTAAACGGGATGTTGTTAATTTGTAAGTATTCAAGATTCTCGCATTATATTGTTCACCATTTTCATGAAATTTGATGATGCACAAATTAGTTTGCACACTACTAATCAAGTTGTAGTATAAAATGTAGTAAGTAGAAAGAGAGATAATACATGATTTATAGTGGTTCGATCAATACGACCTACGTCCACTTTGAATAGCTAGATTCGCCGAAATTTTATTATCTATGGTGTGGAGGAAGAGCATATGATTACAAGCTTTGAGAGGGAAGGAGAGAGTTATGCTCAAATGAGTCTGATGCCGCCAAGTGTTGGGAGAGTTTACAATTTATAATGGCTTAACATAGTAATTGTATGACTAGTATGATGGTCATAATGGCATAGGATCGTTTGATAGTAATTAGGTAGTTGATCTGGCGGAGGCAACCTATCATCTTCTCAACGGGGACGGTTGGTGTGCTCTCCAAAGGACTTGTTCAAGGATGAGAGAGGTTGACTTTCTCTAGGCTGCGAGGGTGAGGCTCCTGGATGCTCCCTTGGTGGCGTAGAGGAGACTTTTAGATGACCCTTACTCCAAGTTGATAGAAGAGACCCTTGAATGACCCTTACTCTAAGGTGGTAGAGGAGGAGGCTCTTAGATGACCTTGCTTGCTCATTGCTGATGTAGCAGCTCCTTAAGCCTAATGAGCTTAACCGAGTTGACCACATTGGGTTGAATTTGTTGGATCTCTTGGAGTCGGGCTATAAACTCGGACCGGGCTTATAACACAAGTTAGGCCTTTGGGCTTGGCCATAATTTGCCCCCCCAATGCCTTGCGTGACGGAAGTTGGAAAGGAGGGCATTCAGATTGAATTTGAGTTTTCATTGACCGTCATAATTGGAAAAACTTCGGAAGGCCTAAAACTGTGTTTTTAGGCTTTTTTTAAGCATTCAATAGCATCACTCACAACCAAAGGCTTTGAGTTTTGTAGGGCTCGCCAAGAGTTTTGATTTAATATATTATAAGCCTCACTTTGAGCAACAGAGTAAAATTTACGATCAAAACTTCGAGCAGAGAGCTAGGCGAGCGGTTTGGACAAGCAAGACACTATTTTGAGCGAGAAGCACTGTTCTAGGCGAGCAGTATTGATCTGGGCTAGCAAAAAAAATTTTTGTTACACTTCGAGAGGTCAAAACACCTCTTTTTGGGCATTTTTTGGACTTTTTTTGAAAATCTCATTATTAAAGGTAATAAGTTTTGCTCAGCTCGTCAAGATCTTTGATTTGGTATATAATAAGTCATATTTTGAGCTTCGAATCAAAATTTTAAATCAAAATAGCGTGCAACGGTCAGGTGCAAGACTTTGGGCGAGCAGACACCCTCCTGGGCGAGCACATACTATGTTGGGCAAGCAGACATCCTCCTGAGTGAGCAAAAAAAAAAATTTAAATGTCAGGAGGCCAAAACACCTCTTTCTGCGCCTTTTTTTGACTGTATTTTGAAAAGCTCATTACCATAGTTATTGAATTTTGCTCAGCTCGTCGAGAACTTTGATTTGGTATATAATAAGCTCCATTTTGAGTTACGAACCAAAAGTTATGGTCAAAATAGCGAGTAGAGAGCCAAGGGTGCGTTTTTGGGCGACAGCCAGCTTTTGGGCAAGCAGACCACCTCTTTGGCAAGCAAGCCACCTCCTAGGCGAGCATACAACCTCTTGGACAAATTTATTTTTTTTAAATTTTGGGAGGCCAAAATACCTCTTTCTGAACGTTTTTTTGGACTTTTTTTTTTGAAAAGCTCATTACCATAGGTAATGAGTTTTGCTCAGCTCGTCTAGAACTTCAATTTGGTATATAATAAGCCCTATTTTGAGTTACAAATCAAAAGTTACGGTTAAAATAGCGAGCAAGGAGCCAATGGAACGTTTTTGGGCAAACAACCAACTTTTGGGCGATCAGGCCACCTCCTAGGCGAGCATACAATCTCCTAGGTAAATTTTTTTTTTTTTTTTTTAAAAAACTTCGGGATGCCAAAACACCTATTTCTGGGCGTTTTTTTGGATTTTTTTTGAAAATCTCATTATTAAAGGTAATAAGTTTTGCTCAGCTCATCAAGATCTTTGATTTGGTATATAATAAGTCCTATTTTGAGCTTCGAATCAAAAATTTTGATCAAAATAGCGTGCAGCGGTTGGGTGCAAGGCTTTGGGCGAGCAAACACCCTCCTGGGCGAGCACATACTGTGCTAGGCAAGCAGACATCCTCCTGGGCGAGCAAATATTTTTTTTTTAAATGTCAGGAGGCCAAAACACCTCTTTCTGGGCCTTTTTTGGACTTTTTTTTTTGAAAAGCTCATTAACATAGGTATTGAGTTTTGCTCAGCTCGTCGAGAGCTTTGATTTGGTATATAATAAGCTCCATTTTGAGTTACGAACCAAAAGTTACGGTCAAAATAGCGAGCAAAAAGCCAAGGACGCATTTTTGGGCGAACAACCAGTTTTTGGGCGAGCAGGCCACCTCCTTGGTGAGCAAACCACCTCCTGCGCGAGTATACAACCTCCTGGGCAAATTTTTTTTTTAAAAAAAAACTTTGGGAGGCTAAAACACCTCGTTTTGAATATTTTTTTGGACCTTTTTTTTTGAAAAGCTCATTACCATAGGTAAATGAGTTTTGCTCAGCTCGTCGAGAGCTTCGATTTGGTATAAAGTAAGCCCATTTTGAGTTACAAACCAAAAGTTACGGTCAAAATAGCGAGCAGGGAGCCAATGACGCGTTTTTGGGTAAACAGCCAGCTTTTGGGTGATCAGGCCACCTCCTGAGCGAGCATACAACCTCCTGGGCAATTTTTTTTTTTTTTTTTAAAATTTCGGGAGGCCAAAACACCTCTTTCTGGATGTTTTTTGGACTTTTTTTGGAAAGCTCATTATTAAAAATAATGAGTTTTGCTCAGCTCGTCAAAAGTTTCGATTTGATATATAATATGTCCCGTTTTAACTTACATAGCAAAAATAGCTAGCAGACGCGTTGGCGCGCGATTTTGGGCGAGCAGGCACTGCTCTAGGGTACCATGCAGCTGGGCACACTGTTTTGGGCGAGCAAAGGCGCCCAAAAGGCCTTGGGCACCTTTTAGGGTACTGACTTGAGGAACTTGGGTGAGTTGGGGAATTGCCTAAGCGCCATTCCAAGTCATCTTGAGGAGCAGCCTGCTGACGTAGGAGGGGTGGTCTAGCGTGGAGATGGGAAGGTAGGCGCCGAGAAGGGCTTGGGCGAGCAGGCGGCATCGCTGTGTGTTGCTACAGTTCGCACAGTAAGTGAGGGGCTGCTCAAGTCTTCATGCATGCTGGCCTACACGCTGGGCATGTTGATCTGGTCCATCAGGCGCCTAGGGGCACTGATCCTAATAAGCAGGGAGGTGGAAAGAAGGTTGGTCTTGGCGTGAAGGCACCAAGAGGTGCCATTTTGGGCAAGCACAAATGGTTGGGCGCTTGCAGGACTACTTCACTTGTATGAGCAGAAGGGGCCAGACACTAGGCTGCCCATTTGGGAGAGGGGGTCAGACACGTTCTCTAGGC